GTTTATTTTACTCCTTGTGCTTTGTGACCTGTAACTACCAAAAAAAACTTAAAATCCCAGACACATTATATATTCTGTTAATCAGAACAAATAAATAAATGTATTTTTAATTACTTTCCTTAACCTGCACTAATTATGCACACATTATTATTGCAAAAACTGTAAAAAAAAAAATATTTTTCATTTTTTTTGCATTTTTCTGTATTTTTTTTATAATAAGTAAGCATTTATATATATATATGTTATATCAAATTAAAGCCCTTTCTGTCCTTTAAAAAACAGTATATAATATGTGTCGGTGCAATAAATGAGAGAGATGCAAATTGCAGTTGAACGCAAACAGCAAGAAAATGCAAAAATTGCTTGTGTCATTAAGCGTAAGTCAAGCTTCTGAAGCTGTGTCCTTAAGGGGTTAAGGGGTTAAGAATAAGGTTCAAAGTTCTTATATTTACTAACAAGGCTCTCCATAACTGTGCCTCTGATTACTTCTCCTCCCTCATTAGCAGATATGTTCCAGGCTGGCCTCTTCATTTCAATGATGACCTATTACTGTTCCCTTCTTGTTCCTGCACCCCTGACTCAAGCAGGCAGGACTTCTTCAGTACTGCCCCTAATTATGGAATGCCCTCATGTGCCACATTTAACTCTCCCCATTTCTGCATATCAGCTCACCCCTTAAATGCTCATCACTGTTTTCATTCATCTGTTGTCTCCCATATGGTGTGCTCCCTCTTTCTCAATGACCCTGCCATCTTTTTAGGTATATCCAGATCATTGAGTTGCCTCAATTCCCTCATTTGAGCAGGGTCATCATCACCTACTGTTCCTGCATGACAAACATGTTTTGTTAGAATTGTCTTGTTTTACCTATTGTACAGTGATGTTGGCGCTAAATAAATTCTTGTAATTGTAATCTGTGAATAATCTCTACATTTCCACTAACCATCAATTATTATTTTTTCCATCAATCATCAATTTTTTTTTGGTGCCATGGATGGAACTCTGAATCCCAAATCAAATGGACATGCTAATCCACAACATGATTTGTTTGTACGTCCATATGTCGCGTCAGTTATAGAATACAGACGACCCCCGATCGGCCTAGATTTGGCCAAGATGCTTGTCATCTGAAAATGAATACGCAAGTCTACTTGTTTCAAAGTGATACTCTTATATTTTAATTTTGTTATTACTTTTATTTCTTTGTATGTTAGTTTTTATGTGAAAAAGGCTTCATATATAATGAAACAATAACGTGAATTTATGTGCATGATATGTGTTTAAAAAGAAACCATTCCATCCTAAGAAACTTAATTCAACTGATATTTTTTTAAATAATACCAGTTGCTTAACTTTCATCACTAAAAGAGCTTAAGCAGCCACAGTGTTAATAATACATGTAACAAACAGTCTGGGATTCATCCTGCCCCTAGCGATAAATTAATTTTCTTTCAAGGCCAACTAATACGAGTTTCAAATAAGGCATGATATTTTGTTCATTTGTCCTAAGGATTTAAATGTATTCCAGATCACATATCTAATGATGTGGATAATGCAAAAAAGATAGAGCAGACACCAGATTTAATGGGGAAATAAAAAAAATGATTATTTTTGCAAAATACGAGTAACATTATATGCCCTCTAGTGTAATGGAAATCAACATTAATATTTGGCTAATAATGCTTAACTTCACTAAGCTTATGGTTAGCTGTGTCTGTCTACTTATCTATAAACCTATGTATTATCTGTATTTATTATGTGTCTGACTTAATAGCTGTCTGTTCATCTATATGCATGTATGGGGAGGAAGTCACTTTGTTGTGTGACCTGTGTGGGAGAATCTGAGAATGCATTTCAGTATTTTAATTATATAAATTTTAAATTAAATAGCCTTATCATTCATGTTGTATATAAAAAAAAAAAAAATTCAAACATTTGTTGGAAACATGGACTATACTGTATATAGCTATGTATAGCTAGCACATAAACAGTCAATACAATATTGTGTATAGAGTTCTGTTCAAAATGCATAAAACATAAAGCACTTGCTTAGTTATTTTTATTAATGTCAGGATTCAAAGTGAACTCAACATTAATTTCAAATTTAAGGGCAAACTAGCCAAATTGCAAACAATTTTTAAGTCTGCTATGCTGCCAATTCAGCCACTTTTGGCCTTTAAGTTAAAATTTACATTGAATTCTCACATAATTCTGAATACAAAACAGAACTATGTCATAATTTACTATCACTATATGTAGAATAATGGAGGGGGGGGAGGTCGGCGGGGCAGGGGGGAGTGGAAACCAGCATAGGACCTTGTCGGATTTTCTCTGTGGATGTTTCATTTATTATTTTACCCTTTACAAAAATATTAGTCATAGTTACTCAAAGTCCTTTTATGTCTATAAAACTTTTTAAATGGCATTATTTCACAAATATATGAATTAACTGTATTTACTGTATGTGGGTATTATGCTCAAATACAGACACTTTTTTTAATTCTGCTGAACGTTTTAGTAAGATGCACTGCTGGTAACATCATCAGGTTCCTTCAATATTCTAAAAGCAGGGTATTTGGCTGTTTATTATATTATGTCCCTCTACGTCAGAAGAAAATGGTATATTTGCTTTTACACTTATATTTTAGACCATTTTGTAAAAATTACAAGATTGGTGATGATTTTCTACAAATATTTCTATAAGGGATAAAAGTACAAACAAAAAATAAAAAGTATGTAAATCTGTATAATTCTTTTCATATGTGTATGCGCTAGCTATGCACCCTATTTTGAGAATTATTTTAATGTTGTTTTTCTTTTTTTAATAATAATGATTTTGAATACAGCAAATTATCGTGTATGTATGTGTTACTTGAGTTTTCCCTGCACTGATTTTTTTAAATATATTTTGCATTATAACATATAGTGTAGCACTCAAGTTACAATTGCAGTTCAAATGGGTGGGATTTGTGTAAAATATCTTCCCAAACCACCATCCTTACCCACAACCCAATCTGCTCATTGCTATTGAATGTCATTTACCTCAGGAAATCCTGAGGTAATGGGATGAACCATACTGATAAATGCCTACTTTCCATGCTGATTTGCTGTTGACCTTACCCTTGGCTATTACTCTAATTCTCTATAGTGTGTTTCAAACATTGGATAAAGTTAAAATAAATTTTATTAACAAATTAATACAATTTTATAATAATAAGAATGTAAATTTTAAAAGTGAAAAAAATACAAGATTGTTTCTTATATGTAGAGCCAGGGCCAGATTAAGAGCCCAGTGGGCCTGGTGCTGACAATTATGACGGGCCTAATTACAGAATCATATCGACCAAAAACAGTAAAACACTCCCAAGCATCATGTATCTGATGGAGATGGTGCTGGAGAGAAAGAAAACCGCAGCTATAAGAACACACATACCCTAGGCTAATCTCTCACTAATTTATGTTTTCATCTTTCAAGTAAATCCATAACCCCTAACAGCAGTGTCCAGTCAAGTAGGAAGTCAATGGGCATGGTAAAAGGGTGTGCCACTGACACAAATCACATAACCTGCCAAAAGGGGCGAACATGCCCAAAAAGAGGACATGTCTGCTCAAAGAATTAGAAGACCAGCCTGGCATGTCAGGCTGCCTGCCAATTATGCAGCTGGCCAACTAAGAGCATACTATGCAGACAGCACCCTGAGCTTGGCATAAATGCATCTAATGATGCGCTCACTCAACGCTTTCTAAGGACTGTCCCCTAGCACTCGCTGGTCCACTTGTCTCCTTACCTTCTTACTAGCAGGCAGAAGCTCCTGGTATATGGTCCGGGACAGAGAAAAGCTGTATGTAGTGAGTGTAGAAGAAAGGGAACATGCCAACGTGTTAAAGAGACCAAAGTCAGCATTACCACAAGCATGAATTCATGACCCTATAGTGTTAACACCACCATCTAGCCCCCCTGGGCCCCTCATGCCTCCATAAATATAGCAAAATCCTACTATATTCAAGCCTGAAGCTGTAACTCTGCATGCTGTTAGACTCATTAAAAAACAAGCAGTCTGCTGACATCATTAGAAGTGGTGGTCTGATCCAATCACAGTGCTTCCCCATAGGATTGGCTGAGACTGACAAAGAGGCAGATCAGGGTCAGAGCCAGCATGATTCAAACACAGCCTTGGCCAATCAGCATCTCCTTATATAGATGAATTTAATGAATCTCTATGAGGAAAGTTCAGTGTCTGCATGCAGAGGGAGGAGACACTGAATGTTTGGATGCATTTTAGGCAGCCATGACCCAGGAAGGATCTATAACAGTCATCTAAGGAGTGGCCAGTGAAGTTATCACTAGGATGTAATGTAAACACAGCATTTTCTCTGAAAAGACCATGCTTACAGCAAACAGCCTGATGGTAATGATTCTACTCACCAGAACAAATTCAATAAGCTGTAGTTGTTCTGGTGACTATAGTGTCCCTTTAACTATATTCACTGTCAGCTAGTCCACACAAGTTTACATCCCTCTTAAGTTTCCATACTTAAGTAAGAGTATGTGAAAAGTAGTTAGGGTTGCCACCTTTCTTGGAAAAACATACCGGCCTTACTAATTTATGTGTGGGTGACATCACATGATGTAAATCACAAGGAGTGACATAAGAGAAAATGCTGTAAAATCACCCAAAAACTATTTAGTTTAAATCTGCTGTAAAGATGGATTCCTCCCAGTGCCCCCATATGTCGATTACTCCAGGTCTCAGTGTTCCTATGTATCAGTGTCTCAGTGCCCCATGTCTCCCAGTGTCCCTAAGTGTCGTGTCCCCAGGCCTCCCAGTGATCCTATGTATCAGTGTCTCAATGCCCTATGTCTCCCTGTGTCCTCATGTATCCCAGGGTCCCCATGTCACTAGGACACTAGGAAGACGGGGAGACCTGGGGACACGGGGAGACCTAGAGACACCAGTGACACTGGGAGACTAGGGGACTCTGGCTGGGACACATGGGGACAATGGGAAAATAGGGGACACTTGAAGACATGGGGACACAGACACCAGGGACAAAGATACTAGAGACACTGGCTGGGGGACATTGAGACATGTGGGCACTGAGAGACATGGGGACACTGAGACACCAGGGCCACAGACACTAGGGACACTAGCTTGGGGACATTGTGACACTTGAGGCACTAGGAGACATGGGGACAGTGAGACACTGGCAGACTGGGGGCACTGGGAGACTAGGGGTCACTGGGAGACTAGAGGCACTGAGACACCAGGGACACTGGCTGGGAGACACGGGGACACTGTGTCACCATGTGTCTGTCTCATAATGTCTCCCAATGTCCCTTAGTGTCTCAGTGTCTGTCATAATGTCTCCCAATGTCCCTTAGTGTCTCAGTGTATGTCTCCTTGCAGCCTTTCCCCCCCCATCCCTTACTTCCCTGAGCTGTAGGCTGTCTCTGCAGGGTGGGAGTTGCTGTCTGGACTCTCTGTAGCTGCACCCCTGCAGATCAGTGAGTATAGATAGGCAGGGAGGGATATGCTGGAACTTCCTATCCCTGCCTGTCTCCACACACAGTGACCCCTACTGGCCAGTGCTGGTATTGCATAGTAATCTCTTGTTTATACTGAGAAAAATGCCAGCATTTGTATTGCCAGTATCACTGTAATATTGGCACCAGCCAGGCAGCCTCAAATACTGTGCCAATAAAATAAAAGCCAGGTGGAATCCCTAAGAGTAGTGTGTGAAAAAAAAAATGTAAAAAAAAAAATTTTTTTTTTTTTTTTTTTTTTTAAATCAATGGGCCTATTCCATGGGCCTGGGCCTGGAGCTGCAGCTCCATCAGCCCCTATGTTAATCCAGCCCTGTGTAGAGCACAATTCAACTCTGCATGAGACATACATTATTATTCACATTTCTTTTGAGCAATAGATATTAATTTATTTTAGTCTATAGAATTTTGTTTTATTAAGTCAACTTAGCTGTTTCGCTTCCTCAAATGTATAGTAAGCAGCAATTCAAGTAATGCATGCCCATAATATACTGATGATATTATTATAGAACAAAGGCTGCTAATGTTAACAATGCAACTGTTTGTGGATAGCATATACCCTAAAACTCATTCAACCTGAATTATGGCTAAGCAAAATCGGGCTAACCAAAATTCAGCATGGTTTTAGATCATACAGAAAGTTGATTGTACTGTACCAGTTCAGCTTTAAAATAAATAATTAGAATTATGCTGTAATTCTGTCTGCTGTGTATGTTGAATATGTGTGTGTGTGTGTGTGTGTATGTGCGCGTATATATATATATATATATATATATATATATATATATTTTATATATATATATATATTACTTTATATTATATATATTACTTTTTTAAACCAGAGTGAGACTGACACTGATAATGTACAGTGATTAACATTTTAAAAGTGCAGTGCAGCAGAGAGTTACTGGAATATAATTGGCACTTAGTACAACAGCTAACTAGCACCAACCTTAGGATATAAAATCATTATAGTTAGAACACCTTGTCAGAATATGAAAGAAAACTTCTTTATTCAATAAAGTTCTACTGGATAATGACATAAAACATAACATGTCTCACACTTTCAAAAGGTTAAAAGACATCAAGCAGGTTAAATCTCTACAGGGATACAGCAACAAAACTAGGTTTAACATAAAACGTTATAATATTTATTTTAGTAATACAAAAAATGCTTTCTTTTCTGAAATGTTCAATATATTAATATGGTCCCTTTTTCATATTTTCATATTTCTTAGAAAAATGAAGGCTGAAAATGCAGAGGGTGATGTTTAATTCCCATGGTGTAATGTGATTTAAAAGTGCAGATGTAAGTGTTTCTACATGTAGACATGTCTATTTAAAAAAATACGTATTTTGTATCTTTTGAGTACAGGTCATTCTGGTGTGAATTTAAACAATTCCATACTAAAGCAGAAAAAGTACCGGTAATTATTTAGTATATATCTTATATCTCATATTTTATTTTTTGGTGTTCTTCTTTCCATGTCCTTTTTTGGGTATGATAATGCCAGAGAAGATATTCAAAGTCTTATTTCCACTGATGTATCATCACAGACCAAGTCTTATATCTACTTAAGGTTTTCCTGTATTTGTAGGAATGAAAAGGCCTATAAAAGAAATCAAGCTAGGAGTACCTAGGAGTAGCAATCTCTAAGGTGGCAGATTCTGAAAATACTTCAGGTGAAATTGTGGTGCTGGTGGCATTTTATACCTTCATGGTGCTTTTCAATTATTGCCTCTCCGCTATCCCCAAGGACCCCTGCTCACATCCAGAGCAAGTGATCAAGTACTGAATTGATACTGTGTCATGCTCTCTCTGAGATATGGTAATGAAAATAGTATTTACTCACTTCACACACAGCCAGAGGTCACCGCTCAACAGACACGCATACTTATTTGTGAAAATACACGTAGTGATCAATTATTCAACTTGCAGCCTCAGAGGTTGCAGAATTATTTCTATTATTTAAAAAAAACATAAACCCTCAACCATAAAAGACTGCATAACCATTTTTTATTTTTCATATAAAAACAGACAAGTATGTTTTATTGAAATATCCAAAGATTACATCCTTGAATGGTGATTGTAAAGTATTACAGGTTGGGACATGGAACATTCACAGACAAAGCACTCATCAGAATTATCAAAGGGTACAAGGTGTAATAACACAATAGAGGCAGATGTTGAACCAGCATACCAAACTATCTCCACAATTAATCTATAGAAAGAAAGAAATAATGTATTCTCCAGTTTAGTCGTATCTGGTGGTGATCCAAACCCGGCCAAATCCAGCTCTCCATGTAAACAGGGGAATTACAATATGTCTTCTACAAATTCTAATTTAACCTTTAATGGAGCTGCATTGATCAGGTTAATGTATCATTTACAGTATATTTCAGAATCTGAAACCCAAATTCTAAAGTATGTTTGTGTGCATTTGGATGCATGATTATTATGGGAGAATAGCATAGTAACAAATAAGATTACAAAGAAGAAAAAAATATGCAGCATGAAAAAATAGTAGATAGCATTGATTTTATAACAAGACATGGAGGCTCATATTGCATATCCCTTTCTTTACCGTTCAGCTCCTTTCAGTTGGTTTCGGGACACGAATTTGGCGGTTCATGCCCAAACACCAGCTCTTTTTTCCACAAATTGATTTTTGGCCGCTGTGGCGGGACTGCTGCCTAACTGTGATTTGCCTTGTTTTATATGTGTGGATGTGCCCTCCTAGAATGTGTGTTTCCCCTGTTTAACCTTTCCCTTTCTGTAGTTTTGACTGAAAATCTACCCAGGGGCGCTCTGGCGCACGGAGCCCCTTGCGCCGGTCCACCCCGGCACTTCATTTAGCGTGTTTACTTATATCTCAAATTAGGGTGGAACCCATGTAAGGGTCTGGATTTGGCACTTAGATCATGCAAGGATAAAATCTTGGTCCCTTTGCTAAACTGTTTGATCTATAGAAGACTCCAGGGCCCCAAATCCAGCAGGTTGACCCGGAGGAGGTGACCTGGAGGAACTCCACTGGTGGGTCCAGAGGGCCATTTGCACTGCGGGCAGTGTAAACGCTTCCCTCTCTATGGAGGGGCGTCATTCTGTTTAAGATTGAACCTAAGTTGTCAAAACTCACTGAGGCTGGTTAGGATGCCCAAGGCTTATTATTTGATCAAGGACCTAGGGTGCTTTGTTGGGACATTTACTGTCCTGGATAAGGTCCAGTCCTCCCTGAGGGTGTCTGGCCACCCACAGTTATTTCAACTACCGTAACTTGGGAAGAGACTTCTTGAACCAACCCCCCAACTACCAGAAGATGAGAACCAACCTGGTCCAAATTCTTCCCCAGGGATGGATGACCATAGCGGTCAAGGGGCTTCAGAGGAAATTCCGGTGCAAGATGCCCATATGGTAATCTTAATACTACCTCATATTTCCTCTCATGTTTATGTAGGGGGCAGACTCCATCATTTTTCTCCAGCTTGGGCAGCCATGCTTGGGTTCTACATACGGTACGTGGTTTCCACATAGAACTGGTTGGTGTGCCATGCCACATCCCAACCCTTTGACCGATCTGTTTTTCCCTTTGGGACTGCTGGTTGATCAATGAGGAATTGTCAGCCCTCCTTGTCAAGGAAGTGATAGAACTGGCTCCGCTGAACCCCTCTGGGGTCATCAGCAATATTTTTTTCATAGAGCCTGATGCGCCCTGTCATCAGTTTGTGCCCGCTCAATTCCATGGTACGCTACCGCCATTTCAAGATGGAGGGCATTTATCTCCTAAGGAATTTGCTCCTACACATGGATTGGGTGGCAAAGCTGGATTTGAAGGACGCATACCTATTGGTTTGGGTGAGCGAGACGTTAAGGGATTGCCTTCATTTCCATTGGAGGAATCGCGTATAACGTTTTACCTGTCTTCCTTTTGGTCTCTCTTTGGCACCTTGGTGCTTCACTAAGCTGCTGTGTTTAGCGATAGCCTGGTTACACAGTCAAGGCATGCGCCTTGACGTGTATCTGGATGACATTCTGCTCATGGCCCAGGATCACTCCGTCCTCCTACAACATTTTCAGTGGACCATAGATCTACTGTCCCGACTGGGTTTCCTCATAAATTGGGAGAAGTCCTGTCTGACACCGTCCAGGCGCATGGAGTTTTGGTGTTTTCTCATGGATTCAGAAGAGGGAAACATATAAACTATTGAGTCTGCCATCGTCCAAGATTCGGACGATCCGCAAGGAACTTCGCCGGGTGCTACTCCACCCACATATCACACTACTCGCACTTGGCAAGGATCTTTAGACTCTTGGCATCTTCAATCCAAGTGTTTTTTCAGCCCTGCCTCATTACCGGCTTCTTCAACGGTTGAAGATTGTTCATCTCCACAAAGGCATCCTTTCTTCAGGCCATCGAGGTTTTGATGGTTGTCCGGCGGGACAACATACCTTGGTGTGTCGCCCACTGCATTGCTCCCATCTTTCTCGTCTCCTATCTCACTCATTGTTTCTGTCATTTTATCTCTGGTTCTTGGCATCCTTACATCATTCTTTATCGACACCTCATCTTTTATGAAATGAAGGGGGTGACTAGTGACAGGGAGGGGGTGACTAGTGACAGAGTGAGGGGGTGACTAGTGATAGAGTGAGGGAGGGGGTGACACAGTGACAGAGTGAGGGAGTGACTAGTGACAGAGGGAGGGATGGGG